CCCCCCCCCCCCCCCCCCCCCCAAGTCACATACGCTGACTACCGAGATGAGAAGAATTTCTGTTCACTAATATGAATGTGTTTCCTAAAACATCAGTTCTTTTTTTTCTTTTTTTTTCATTAAGCTGTTTCCCACTTCTTACAGGATGTAAATAGAAATAATAGAGTGTATCTATACTGACCATTCTACTTTAAAAATGATGGGGTCTCATAATAAAAGCCAACTGTACATTTTTGAACTGCTCATAATGTTTGTTTTGTCGCACAGACAGACACATCATGAGAACAGAGTATTAATTCGTATTAATTTAATCAGGGAAATGGTTTAAAGATACATTAAAGAACACATCTTCAGAGTAAATAAGACGCTGCAGTGTATTCCCAACGTATCATGAGAAACTGAATTGAAATGTTGCAGACAGAAATCAGGAGTTAACCACAATACAAAACCCACATCAGAATAGTAGTGAATGTTCCATCCCTCGACCTTTATATAGCACTGAAGAGTGATATCTGTAAAAATGTGAGTTTTTACAAACAGGTAAGAGAAGAAAGGAAGTGAAATCACAGTTATATGTAAAGAAAAAGTCTGGCATTATTCCACATTTTTCTTATTGTCAACAAATCCCATTAATGGACCAAAATGAACATGTTAGTCCTTTTCTCAAGACTTTCTTGCTTCTTTATTTGGTCGGTGACACTCAGACGTGAGACCATTCGGTCAAACCAAAGATGGGGTCACAATCATAGATTTCCAAAAACAGCTGGGCACTGTATAGTTTTTAGAAAACTTTAGTCAAACAGGAGTGACCGGTGCATTTGTTGGGGACTATTTTCAGCTGTGGATCACTACACATGTAATACATATTGAACCATTGAGGGATTAGAGCAGCAGGACGGTGTATGTTATTGACTCAAAACAAACTACAGTGCCCATGTTCTTTGTTATGAAGGCACATGTCGCATATATGCAACAATGTGGCTCATCGATGTGTTTCTAATAGCTTTGGGGAATAATAAAAATAAATGTGAAAAATAATAGATATGGCTTTGGTTACACAACCAATACTTGTTGTTAGGATGAACTCATTGTTGGTTTTGGTCTTTTTGTGGGATTTGTTGACAGTAAGAAACATGTAGACTATCACAAGCCTCATCCTTCAGGGGAAATAAGGAGGAGAGGTCCCTGTTTATTGTTAAATATCAGGAGAAGCAGACAACATTTCACAGGAGGACACAAATGTTTTGGAAGAGCTTGTCTCAGACCGTTGGATACAACCTCCATGGCAACGCTGCCTCTCCCTCTCCATGCATAATTATTGCTTTGAATTTATGCCATTTCATTGCAAAATCCATTGGAACAATCTATTGAGAACTCACCAAATAAAAGCCCTCATGTATGAGACTAATTGAACACAGACAATGGAGAGAGGAGTGAATGAAAGCTCATTGAGCACAGCGAACAAACATTTAAATTAGATCACATCAGTACAAAACTGTTTTGTGTATATCTTCACTTTGTGGTTTTATACATGTAGCTGGAGGGGGACAAATCTGTGGATATAATAACAGACCACACAATCGGACGATGGGGCGATTTAGTAATAGATGAAGATTTGGGGGGAAAGCCTTGGTGGGGAGGAGAGTTTCAGTTGCATTTGCTCATGCAGAGCAACAGCTCCATGCGCAGAGCGATGCGTGTGTGCCATCCGAGGGGGAGGATGCGGATGTAGCGCGCCACGATGGGCGGCCGCAGCAGGTTCTGCACTGACGAGGAGCGGTCAGAATTTCCATAAAACACCTGAGAGAGAAAGAGAGAGAGAGAGAGAGAGAGAGAGAGGAGTGAAAGGTCAGCATGGTTTCATTTAGACAGACACTAATACAGACTAAATATAGTGCTTTTTACATTAAAGTTACTACAGTTACCATTCATAATTTCAATAATGATTATAATGTAAGGCTGCAGCAAATATTTATTGATTCATCAATGACTTATTAAATCTATAACCCATCAGAAAATAGTGAAGAAATCACATTTTCAAATTGCTTGTTTTGTCAGAGCAACAGGCCAAAACCAAACGAGTTTTTATTCACAATAATGTAAATAAAAAAGAAGCCTTTTATTCTCACTTTTGAGAAGCTGGAACCAGCAAATGTTTGGCCTTTTATGCTTGATTAATGACTTTAACAATTTTTTCTGATTGTTGTTCAATAAAACATATTTAAAACATGTTCAACATTTGAAAAATCTATTATAATAGCAATATATTCATTTCGTAACTGTTCAAGCCATCATTAACGAGATGATAACAGATTTCCATTAGATTTCAGGTCAGTGGTGACCGACATGTCAAGCTTCACAATTTGTTTGTGCCACGTATACTCCACAGTTTTTTGACTGGGTTCAACTGACCCTGTTGTTTCCAGTTTGGTCTTTGTAATAGATCCAGTTGAGTTTTTCGTCAGTGCGGTACTGAATGCTGTACTTGGTGATCCACTCCTCAGCGTCACAGCGGCCCTGAGTGAGGATCCCCGACACCACCATCACCTCCCTCAGGTCAATCTGCACCCACTGATTGCTGTCCTGGAACTTAGACAGCCAGGCACAGCTGGAGGAGAAACACAAACACTGGACGTAATGCAGCAGTTTGGCTGCTTTACAACACATGCACACATGGTTCAGTTTGACTTGCTGATATTCTCTTAAAGCAGGTAACATAGATGTGTGTAAGGGTGCATAACTAGAGCTGGTTAGATTCCCTTTCTCCCAGCAGACATTTTGACTTGGCATAGAGAAAGCACAGGTGTTACTGATAACATTAACTACGGCTCCCATTCAGGTGTCCCAGTAAGTCATGACAGTGTGATGGAAGTATTGTCGTACATGTGCGTATGTATATATTTCTTATATTCACTCTTTTTATTTATATTTTGTGGAGGCTTTCATTCTTAACATTATTATCTATTTATTCACCCCTTTTGTACAAAAAAATATACAGAGTTAAAGTTTCTCTTCATGCATTTATTTTCACAATAAATTAACACCAGGCTAAAACAAACACCTGTGTTTTGCTGCCTTCTCTGGTTGAAAAGTACTCGGTTACACCTGTAACCACGCCCAATAGTGATGTCATGGGGTCTTGAAGTACACCTGTACACCGCTCCAGGCAGGTGAGAAGCCAAGCAGAAGAACCACTGGAGGTCAGCAAACACTTGGTTTCCAGGGATGATTAAGATAGCTAATATGCATACATATTCTGTAGCCTGATGGAGAGCAGTCAGACACCATTGTCGGTAAATGGAGCCGCACTGTTAACATCAAAATCAGCCATTTATGTGTTTTTCCCACACTAACTGGCATCTAGTAAGTCTCTTGATCGCTGACGACACAGAGATACCTGGTGATAGGTCCTTATTCGATTGGCTCACGAGCCTTGTTAGGAGCTGCCACCAAACCTCAGATAGCTTTCACAGAGATAAACAAACATTTTGGACCCGTCAGTATTTCTAAAATGAATAATTTACAATCATAATACTTTTTTTTAGGAAAAGCGATAATCTTATTCGTCCACTTTCTAAAATCTGAGCATATATTATTTTTGATAAATATTTGTCTATATACTGTATATCTATATATATACATCAATGTTATCAATAGAACCTTAAATATTCAAGGAGAAAAACAGAAAGCCTTCAACACTTCGCATAACAGCTCCTCAGAGTCAGCAGTTTATTGAGCATATATATTCTTGCACTGCCCACCTTATTTGTATCTTAATGTTTTTAAGCGAGAGCATATTGGCATGTCAACCTTTGATTTTACATCATGAGACACGGGTTTTAATCTCTCTCTTTGACTGCATTTTTTCTGACACTGTTCCTAACAGATGGCTAGTGCCCGACATTTGTTTATTAGGGTTACAACAGTCGACCATCTCGGCCAAAAACATTTTTGTGAGTTCAAATTCAAACAAATATAGCTTTTGGCAATCTCAGCATTCACTGATGGAGATTAAAAATACATGCAGCTATATAACCGTGCACTTTTTGTTTACAATTTGAAAATAGGACATTTTTTTGTGGAGAGAAAGGTTTACACTTTAGCGTGTACCCACCCGAAGCCCTGAGTGTTGAGCCGGGCCTTGCTCGGGAGCCACGAGGAGAACCAGCCGGTGTACTGGTCCTGGTTGGAGCAGGTGATCTGGTCTGGACTCACCAATCCGGCCTCGAAGCCCAGAGGCTTGTGGTACGGACACTCTGCAGGAGGATCAGAGACAAAGTTATAAAACAGAGGTCTTACTTTAATCTCTTTTGCATTTCAGTTGACGACATTTCCAGGTCACCACCCCGTTAGAAGGAGAACACAAACATGTCTGCCAACAGCTAAGCAGTAAAACACGGAGATGTGAGCAGCAAATGATCATCACTATAAGCCTCTCTAGGTGCTTATTTCTCCATCCCTCCATCCTCACCCCTGCCCACTCCCATCCTCACACCCTCCTGCTTCCAGAGCCCCCGTCGTTAGCAGACCCAGTGTGACCCATATCCCATCCTAAAAGCCTGCAATTTAATTCTCCACAGTGAGAGATCAGCGATGTCCATTAGGGCGGCAGGCGGACAGATGGCCATGTTCTACCCTCGACAACTTTAGCGCCGTGTTGCTCCCATGTTTTGATCTGTCAATCTGCCGTATCACTTCCAAAAACACACCAGAGCAAGTCCTTTGTTGACTTAGTAAATACACATTATAAACGCATGAATGGGAGAGATGAGGGAGCTGGACATGAATGAGTTTTTTTCTCCCTAAAGTTTCAGAAATAACATCAGCTGTGTGATACATGGAGCAGAAACCTGCTGCGCTTTTGTTTACTACTGGCTTAAGCCTATCTGGCACAGGGTCACATCCTATCTAATCCCCAACGCATACAGCAGCAGCAGCAGCAGCAGCAGCGTCTGTGTGAGTCAGGAGATAAGTGTTTACATAACAGTAATGCCGGTGACTCCATAGTCGGCCCTAATGTATTTCAAGAGTGGAATAAAACATATTCTGATGCCTGAATTAATGGGAAAACCGAGTGGTGCGGCACGATGGATTGAGTTGGAATAAAGTCGGAGGCCGTGCAGGAAAAGTCTGTCTCACTCATCATTTATCATCACCGGGTCCACGTCGTGGTAATTGCCGGTTTCTGCGATTGTGCGATCGGCAGAGTCTCCTATGAGCACCGTAATCTGAGCATCACGATCTGAGATCTACCGTACTTCTTTCTCCTCTCCGTCCCCGGTTGCCATGTCAATTGTGGCTCAGTTGACACACATTGACGAACTGAGGGAAACACGTTCACTGCACATCAGCTCTGCCTTTCTCTTCTCATCGAGCCTGACATGATTCAAGTCTCATCTTTATATCTCAGGCCTTATGAGGATGCCGTCGGGGCTTTCTGTTTGTGTTTGTTTTTTTGCTTCGCGGGAGATCTCAAAAACAAGTTTGCAGATTTGACAGAGATTTGGTGGAAAGTTAAACCTCAGATTTCCATCTGCTGATAAATATGATGTGAACAGCTACTAATGGATCATTTTGTCAACGGCTGTTTCCAAGCTCAAGAACGAATGAAAAAAACAATCTGCCAAATATTGTGTGTATTTTGATGCAGACCACATTTTCATCATCTTCTCTAATGATGTCCAGCGGAGCATGTCCACCCCTGTGGTGTCAAATCTGGAGTCTAATGCACTCGTGCATGCACACATGCACATATGGAGATTCTCCTACTCTCTGTCTCTATCGCACACATTACATCTCTCCATCCATCTGCATTGTAGATGATTCATGGATTATTGATTACTTGATCTACAGGACTTTAACCAGCAGCTGCGTTGATAGTCTATTATTTGCTTAATTTGAATATGTGCAGTTTAACTATTTATATCCTGGTAAATTTACTTTCTTTGGATTTCATAACCCAAACAAAAATATTCATCGGATTCACAGAAATTAAAGAAAATCGTCAGTTGCAGACCTATTGTATTGTTCACTAGATTTCCAGCAGGATAAAAAGTCAGATGTACAGCGTATGATTCTCGTCCTCGTCCACTCTCTCCGTCAGCTTTGTGTGTTCATTATCTGAATCAAACACTGACATCGCAATTAAGTCCTTGTTACAAGTACTATTATTAGTTTAATGATTCAATTTCATCATCTAATCAACAAAAGTCACTTAATTAGTAGATCAAAGAGTGGCCTCATTAGAAATTAGAAAATTTGTGCTCGGTGTGCAGTAAAGTGCACATGTGATGTGAAATTCATCAGGAATGGTGAAAACAAAATGAACGGGTATATTTCTACGACAGTCACAGGCTACTGGCACAAAACGAAACAGTGTTTCTTCAGAGAGAGCACGGTATAGATGGTTCTTACCTGGCATGCAGTCCACCCCTCGCACCATGGAAGAGCCGGTCCCGATGGAGGAAAACTCAGTCGGGGACTCACCCCCTTCACAATCACATTTGCAAGACCTGCTGGTCCACGTCTCAGACACTTCCGCCTTGCACAAACACACACAAACAAAATTTAATAGATGCAATCCAAAGTAGTGTCATCAGAAATGCCAAAAATATTTGCATAATAAATACCACTATCTTATAATACAGCTGGTTTGCAAAAAAGAATGTAAAAAGAATAATTTTAATGGATGAGTGAAAAGACAATGATGCAGCAAAGAGACTGAACCTTATAATGTGTCATCTCAGTAGATTTCCAGTGATTTAAATAAAAATAAAAATCAATTGACCAAAGTCAACTGTAGAGAGGTTGCTACATTTCAAAATGAGATGTCTCTGGTGTGGCCGATCTAAAAGTGTTTAAAAAACAACAACTCTGAGCTACATATTTTGCAAACACTGCTGATTTTAACACTCTCTACGTGTTCAGTCATCTCTGACATTAATCTGAGTTTTTTTCGTACCTCCTGAGCATGAATGCTGATGAACACTGTTCAGGCAGATGGACAGAAAGAAGAAAAAAAAGACTGTTAGGACACAGTAGTCACCCACTCTAGCAAACAAAATCTGTGCATCAGTCTGTCAATTTAACCACATTAAGAATAGGCAAATAAACACAACACAGACACAGAGAATCAAGTATAGTGTCACCAAGGAAAACCTGCATGATAATCTACAGGATGATTGAGGAAATCTGATATATTTTTCAAATTCTCAGTTAGGAAGTAGTTTGTCCTTTGACACCTGAGTTTCAGAGGTTTTCTTCAGCATATTGTCCAGTTTGAGGTGATTTAACTCCTTCAAAGACTGCTGATGTTACAATTCTAAATCACACAGTTCATGGGTTCACAACTCAATAGCAGCACAAGGTGAAAAAGAATGAAGTCGTACCGTTAGCTCCCAGAAGCAGGGCCAGCAGGAAATGATGCACGTAGAGAGCCATCTTCCAACCTGCTCCGAACCAGAGGACACCGACTGTAGACTGAGCAGCCGAGCCACCAGCAGTGATAGAGAGGCTGGATTACAATAATCCACAGGACACTAATGGCCTTACCTAATGCCTTATCTGACAAAGCCCCTCCTACAGCCGTTCAGCCACCACCATAAACGACCACCATACATTCTGGAAATTACTGCACAGCCACAGATGTCAAGTCAAAAATCCTGCAGCAAAAAACAAAAGCCAGTGAGGTCAATGTGACAGATTTGGGTTGTGTGTGCGTGTGCGTGAGAGAGTGAGAGTGTGTGTGTGTGTGTGTGTGTGTGTGTGTGTGTGTGTGCTGGAGGGCGGTGATGGCTTATGCTGGGCCTTGTGATCCATATAATTGACCAGAAGGTCGACTTGTATGTAATGCATTTGCATTATCACATTAATTATAATATTTAAGAAAGAAAGAAAGTACAAGAATTGTATATTATTAAATGTATATAATTTAAATGTATTTAAAAATAATGATACAATTAGAGCCCAACTGATAAGGCAGCTGATATTAGCTTTCACTTATATATATTGTTATATGTTGGCCAATACTGTGTTTAGAAACACTGACAAGTTCATTTTTCAACTGTAAGAGTCCCACTCAGAACACATATTGCCAAATTTAAAAAAATTCCAAAATGCTTGTTTATCTTATTTGTTTATGTAAAAAAAGATCATATCAGCTGATATTGTTATCAGATTATTTTTTAACTCATTATGAAAATCATTACTGTTGAAAAAGAAAAAGAAAATAATTGAATTATTGGATAGTCAAATGAATATTAGACACCATTAAAACAAACAAAAAAGTTGACCTAAGAACAAAATCTGCAAATATTTCAACATCCCAACTTAACTCGAGTAAATATACAAACTTACAGCTGAAAGTTTCTAATTATACTGTGAAATGAGAGAAAAGCCGGCAAAAAATTCAAACATAAATGAACAGTTTGGCCTCTCTATGAGTTTATTTCTCTGGTCATAAGAATTGTGATATGCAATGAGGGAAAAGCCTAAATGTGGAGTTTTTTTCCCTTCAGAATAACAAAATAAATGTATTCACAAGATGTAATCACATATTCCATCATCTCAACAATAAGACCACACACAGCATTCAAAAGTTGTAAAGCCGTCTCAACTCTCACTGAGGGTTTCACAGCCTGCCAGGTGAACGTAATCAAGCCTAATTAAGCAAAGCTGTCTTCAATTTGTGTTCATCAAAACATCCTTTTCACTCCTCACACACTCTCTTCTGTCATGCCCTCATGCCTGATGGCTTTTTGAAAAAGCTGCTGTAAATCTCATCAGTTGATTTCTTTTTGCAAGCGTTAAGGCTGAAGAGGCAAAATGAAGGCTCGTGTCCGAACCCCGCGCAGGATTCCTCTACAAACAAAGAAAAGGACTCGAGGTCACTCGGGTCTCATCTACAGAGGTCATAAAGAGGTAAGAACTGCAGCACACGCGGTGACTTGCATGGACGTGTGGTGCTTAAAAATTGGCATAACATTCTTGTGTTTCGTGGGATGATTTTGAATATTACAGAAGGTTTAAAAAAAAAAAAAAAGAAATCATGTCTTTCCAAGTAGACTATGCAGGTTGCAGTAAGTAAGATCATGAAAAGAGTTAAGTGCATCCCACCTGAAACTTTCATCTCTTCTGCAGGCCAGTCCGGCTGGGATGAGGACTCCAGACTTCTTGGCCAGTCGGCTCAGTTTCCCCAAACCAGTCCTGCTCAGACTGGTGAGCTCAGAAGCTTCCCGGCTGTCCAAAACCAACAGACTAAAAGTGATCACTCTGCGGGAGATCAGTGCTGCTGTCACACTCGTACAACAGAGGATTCATACGAGAGCTGCTGCATGAAGAGTTGGAAAATGTTGATATTTTACTAACTTTTATCATTAAAGAATTTTTATTTTTTAATCTGTTGCCTTCTATGCAAGTATTGCATGCTCATGTCAGTAAGTACAATTACATTGAATACTCTACAAGCAGTAAGTTACAGGTGATCATTTATGGAAGATTGTTGATGCCAAATCGGTTGTTCAATTTAACAGGGTGTAGGGAAACTTAGGGATGGGTTTTGAATGCAAATTCCTTATTTATGGAACATGCTGAAATACTGTTCTCCTTGGTTGCATTTTTAGCTCGCAGTTTATTCAGATGAAGATGGACTTTCACCTTCAGTTCAGATCCAGTAAGCTAAATGTCAGCTCTGCATTCAAAACGTACAACTGCAGAATGTTTTAACCAAGCAGCTCATGATCATTTCTTAACCAACCAAGTAGGTTTGTTGACTAAACTTTCTAACGATCATCTGGTTGTATAGAAGTCTCATGAGAAAATGATGCGGATTATGACTTGCTTTATTACCTCAGTAAACATCAGTTTATGGTCTCAATTGCTAGTTTAAAGTCTTCAATACAGAATGTTCATTTAGTAAAGTGTGGTCCATATTAGAGTAAAATTGGACATAAAGCAGGTTGTGCTTTCACAACTCCAAAAAATAGTTGCGGATATCTTAAACCTCATGCCTAGTCCGTAATGTTGTGTATTACGTTACTTATGTGCAGCTTCCCATTGGCCCAACAAAGCATTTGAACAGTTTATTCACTCACACACTTCGCCAGAATCCCTTTTACTTTTCTTTTTTTTCCGTCTCATCCTCCACAATAAAAGCACCAGAAACGTACACAGGAACACTGCTTCATAGAGAGCTCTCAATTTAATAGCTTACAACAGTGCTGACACGTGGCCAAACTTACCGGAGGGGCAACCGGAGGGTGGGCAATAGGAAATACTACGGCAAGCTTCCTCGAGGACACCGCAGGTCGGGGTGGCGTTGTTGGCGTATGAGAGCAGTGCAGAGCTGCGGTCATTAGCTAGCCAGTAGGGCACGCTCACATTTACAAGCGTGCACTGAAACGTGTGGCCGACTCGGCTATGTAAACGAAGCAAGTAGTATCTCGGAGAACAACACACACTGAGCGACATGGGCTTCATTCTCTGCTCAGGTTTACTTGACTCCACTGTATCATTACAAAGAAAATATTGATTTGCTGCTGTCTTACTGCCTGGATACCTACATGAGGCACAGAAACGATTGATGAAATGAGTCATGGTGGAAATGAGTTGATGAATATTTGCAGAGGTGGGCTATTTTCAGGAGGAACAGCTGACTGGCTCTCCATCCTGTGATGCGTCTGTGCTATAAATCCACCTGATGCCTCCGCCTCCTCGGTGCGCTCTCGTCTCCTCCAGCTTCAGCAGCAGCAGCAGCTCCTGCAGCGTCCGCATCTTCTCTGGAAACACTTTCACCGCCAATATTATCCTTCCTTTTGAACTCAAACCTCCTCTCAGCCGTCATTTGGAGGACGCGTATAGAGCGAAACATTGTGGTCGCAGCTTCGATGCGAGTATTTATTTATTTATTTTTTTTGTGCATCACATGGATTACGCGTCCCATTCATGATTTCCGGATCGTGTGGATACAAGCGGCAGGTAGGAACAATAAAACAAACACTGTGATGATTTACTTGCGCCGGATGCGTAAAATGATCACGTCGTTGGAATATGATGCGCAATGAGCAACCTTTCCCGTTTTGATTTGTCCTCATGGCTGCGTTATTGCATCATGCGTTGTGAGGTTTTTAATTCGAAGCATAATGTTGCACATTTGTTGATCATCGGTCAATTGGGACCGATGATCAATGGGTCAGAGGTGACCCAACGTCAGACACTTTTCCAGAACATTCTCTCTGAAGTGAACCCTGCTGCTGTGATGTGAGACTGGATAAAGTGTTTCTAGGAATTTAGGAAACTTTTAATAAACGAATGAGTGAAACCCAGTTCTCCCATTTAGACAACCACTGACTGATGATGACATATTACTTTTTAGGTCTCATGGCAGCAGTCGCATGCCACCAGCCAGATGTGACCCAGCTTTGGAAAAACTGATTGATGTGACCCCCAGGACCTCCTTGTTGGACATCATGGGATGCGGCACCTCCGTTGCTACGGAGACACAAGGGAAAATATTAGAGACCGGTAAGGATGCTTTGCAGGTGTAGCTGCCATTAGGGTTCAGGACTGACACATATTTTCCTTCCCCGTCAGCGGGAACATTTGACACTCGTGTGTGTTGCCCGGGGAGAGGTGTGAAGAAACCACTTTGGCATCACATTAGAGCAGGCATGTTGGTACAGACCAGCTGAGCACAAATATTCCATACCTGTCGGATACTAATTGGAGTGCAAGCTTAGAAATAACTTCGATGAGGCTTTTATGATAATTGATGGAAGGGGATGAAGTGTAACTTATGTGTTTGTGTCCTTACAGACTTTCAGTGGCTTTTGTTTTTAGATTCTACAAATCACATTTAAAGCCTACATGCAGTCTGACACAGTAGAAATCCTCAGTCCAGATGGAAAACAAACAAAATAGTCGATTAATCGAATGTCAGAAAACTGTTTTGATAGTTGATTTATCATTTCAGTCAATTTCTTTTTTTAGCAAAAATGGGCCAAAAATCTTGCCAATGTTTGTAGTATTCGATGATGAAAATAGTCTTTAGTTGCTGTGCTTTTTGTGCGTTGTTGGCTCGTTGATCCTGTCTGTGAAGCATTATGTAACATTATTTCATTTGTGCTCTTTAAACAGTGTATTATTAGCAGTAGTGTTATGGTTCAGTTTTACGCATCTCAATGTCACATCATGCAGAATGAATCTGATGGTAATTAATTTTTGCGGGAGTAATTTTTCCTCAGACTTGTTGCATGCACACACACACACACACACACGCACGCACACACACACACACACACACACACACACACCAGATGTTTGACAGATGGTGCTTTTCTTTCTTCACAGTCTGCTTTCTCTCTTTAATGAGTGCTGTTTCTCTTGAAAGCTCTTTTAATTTGCGTAGCTTTTCCAGTCCCACTGTTGCTCATGACCTCCCCTGTGTCTTGTTATCGCTCCCACTGTGTGTGTGTGTGTGTGTGTGTGTGTGTGTGTGTGTGTGTGTGTGT